TTCTTATTCCTTTCCTTATATGACACTATGTGTAAAGAGTATTTATGACAAAGATGATGGCCAAGAAAAGAATATCTGGCATATGCAGACAGTGATCTGCATGTACTTATAAGAGTCAGTCCTCTATATGAGAGAATATATATCCTTCAGCTTGAAACAACAGGACAAGGCAAACTTTATACCCAGAATACTAATACTTATGGTTTTCCTTATTGATTTTCAGCCTTGGATTGAGTAAACTGGTTGACATTGCCACCTAGTGTTGACAACATGTAAAATGCTACATGGATTGATCCCCTTCTCCATCCATAGCAGGCTGAAAGGCCTCAATCTGATCCTTAAATCTCTCAATAGATTAAATTGGTACAGTTCAATACATAATTATACAAAACGGGAAAAGCCGAAAGTGACTTTCAATACATAATTACACAGAAAGATCTTGTGTAAATCCTGACATTTCAGCCACAGTTTTCCGTTGTATGTAAATTCGCTTGTAAGCCCAATGTGAATTTGATGTGTAAAGACCAGACAAAGTCCTTACTTAAGCCTCGTATTGTAACTGTTTCCTTTTGTACTCAGATACTGTACAACTGTATATAATGAGAGTTTGGTATTCATCAGAATTCGCACCTTCATTCTTTTTTTAAAGATATTTTTTGACATATTTCTGCTTTATTGGCTAGGATATGGTGCAGTATGAAAGATTACCAAAGGATAAGACAGGACAAAGAACATGAGCAGGACTCAGATGAAGAGTCCCAGTGCCCTAGCACAGCAGATCACCCTGCACCTTCATTCTGAACGTGTGTGTGTGTGTGTGTGTGTGTGTGTGTGTGTGTGTGTGTGAGAGAGAGAGAGAGAGACAGTATGTAATTCTGTTTCCACTGAGCTGGGATCTGTAAAAAAAATGTTTATATCTATTAAAGATATTTTGTTGAATTATACTCCATGTTTCTGAGTGGCCTTTTGGTGTGGTAGATGTGACCTAGACACCCAATATCAATGACATAGATTTATAAAAGAATTTTTCTGTGAAGTTTTATCAAGAGAGAAATTGGGAAATAATACAACTGCATCTGAGATAGCTTGCTAAAGGATACCTGTCAGTGACTTGACTGTGCTGTGTTTTGATTAACACAGAGCTGCTGTCTCCCCAGTTAGGCACGATTACACAAGGCAGTCTGGATGGCGGCGGTTGATGGAGGAGGATAGAGGTAGCTTAATGTTACTGGGACATCAACCGAATTTAAGCAAAATCAAAATCCAACAATCATGGAGCAAGATCAGAAGTCAGAGAATGTCCTGGTAAATCAGCCAACTCGCCCAGATAGTTCTGACTGACTTCGCTGCCAAGAGCTTAATTTTGGCATTAAAACTCTGTATCAAAGAAAGATACTCGCTTGACTGGCAGACCTACTTTCAGACCACATTATACACAAGACAAATACTGCAGAGAAAAGCCAGTAACATGTGAGGGACCAGTTCCTCTTTGAAGGAACATATAAGCACTTGAGCTTGGTCAGATTTACACATAACTGTGAACTGTATCCCCACATGTTTAGATGCAGTCTGCTTGTGTTTATTTGCTCAGTCAGTAAATGCACAGTACTCCTCTTCTGTCACTATACAATCATGCAGGATTTGTGTGGTGGCCAGTGGCTGTGAACAGCTTGTTCAGTAATTTAGTATGAATGCAGGGCTGGCTCCCATTCAAACTTAGTTAAGTCCCTGTCTGTCTGTCTTCCTGCTTGTCACCTTGTTAATGATGGCACTCCTTGATGATAGAGCAGCTCATAGGACAGGAACATGCGCTAATCACAGGTCACTGCAGTCTGTGTGGTTTGCTGTTATCTGGGGAATGGGTGGTTGTCTCATATATGATAGGTGAGAAGTAGATGTATAGCTATGATAGCAGAGCATTATTCATGTAGGGAGATGGAGGTAGTAATGAGAGTCCTTTTCCTGAGAAATGAGTCGGGTAAGCACCATGGGTTGACGAATGCTTTCACAGGCATGCCACTCACATCTATGCCTGTGACCTCTGTTTCCCTTGGTTACCACTTTTACTGAGAACAGCAGTTTTTATTTGTTTAGCATTGAGTCTTCATTTTGCCTGAAGAAACATACTGAACAAATTGTACTAAGGAGAAGAAGGCTTTTCATCTGCTTAGCTTTATAAAACCTGCATTTGTGTTTTCTCTTTATCTGTACATGGAGAATATTTGAAGCATCTCAGATATGTTCAAAAGCAACCAAGAAAGCTCCACAGAGCCAAACCCTCTGCTTAGATAACAACACATTGCTGAAAGAAGGAACACACTGTGAAGCAGAACAAACAAGATAGTTCTTTTGATAACCAGTGATCTGGTTCTGTCACCATGAACATCTTTTCTGTGAGTGTATTTGTGTGTGTTCATTGTGCATGCTTGCATTCACAAAATGGCCATACCACATATTTCTGAAGTATGTTCCTTACAGCTGCTATTTAAGCTTGAATGATTCCATGAAGAGAGAGAGAGGAGAACATGAGTGCATGTTTACCAGACAAAGGGAATTTGTTGGCAATGAAGTATAAGTTGTGAGAATATGACTAAATTGGGATCATCATTAAGGAAACAGGCAATGAGCAGCCTCTCACACATAAGCTCTGAATGGAGATTGTGTCTCCATATATATAGCCAGCATTTGTGTGTGTTCAGTAACAGTAACTTGTTTTGTATTAGCACTTCAGTATCCTCTTAATGAAATGTTTCTTATTTTCAGCATCAGTGGGCGCTGCTGCAATGTCTGTCCTCCTTTCCACTACTCTCTCTCTCTCTGTCTCTCTCTCTCTCACACACACACATTCACTGCCTCGTGCACACACTCTGTGCCCGTCTTTCTCCTCCCTCTGTTTTCCTCTGGACTCTCTCTAATTCTTTCATCCCCCCACCCTCCTTTTCCAACTTGATCTGCCCCTCTGTCCCTCACTCTCTCTGACACACTCAGTCTTTCGCTCTCGCTCAGACTCGAGCACATGCAGACAGAGGGAGGGGGGAGATGAATGAAGTGCACACATGTGAGGATCTCATGAACTGCTGGGACAAGGCAGGACCGGTGAAGAGAGAAGAGGAGGAGGAGGAGTAGAGGAATACTGCAGTAACCAGCCAGCTTCTCTCTCTTTCTCTTGCTGCTTCATTCCTGTTTTCCTCATCCCCTTCTCCCCTCTCTGACAATTATACCATGAACCTGCCTGCTGCTTGTTGCTAAGGGGGAGCCAACTGGGGGAGACATCGGGGGGGGAGCAGAGTGGACCAGGCATTATTTTATTTTTAAGGTAATGAGCGCTTCATTAATGGCAGCTCTCAGGTGTCACAGATGTTGCATTGCACCAGGCTGCTCGCCTGCTGAGAGTGAATGGGGCTTTGGGATCCACAAGCACAGTATGGTTCTGGGTGTATCTGAAGCATGACTTGTTTTTTGCGTGTTTGTGTGTGAAATCTTGACATTTTATTCAGTTTGTTTCAGTTGACCGGGTGTCTGTGGGCTTGTTTATTTGAGTCACTGCAGGGGGGTTTGCTCTGTGAATATGCATGTGTGCATTGTCCTTATGTCTTTGTCTCATCATAAACTGGTGTTTACTGTGTGCTTGGATCCGAGGTAGTGCACGTGCAGACACTCACATGTAGCCTACATGAGGGCGTGTTGGTGCTCTTTACCTG